GGTCAACACTCATCGAACAGCTGGAACGTTTTATGAGATATACAACAGCACCAACTATAGGAAGAACAATCAGAGATAAAAGATAAAGATTGGGGTCTGTCAAATAAGGGTTATCCCCGTTTCCTGGTTTCGTCATATCGTAAGGTGGTTGTGTAGTGATATGATCTGTTGGTGGTGATGTTTCACTAGGGATGTCAACCGGAGTCGGTCTTTCACTTTGGATGACAGTAGGAGGCTTTGTTGTCAAGCAGAACCCATCCTTATCCAACGGATCACGAATACAACCAAGAGTAAAGGGTAGCATGGTCAACAGTATTAACAAATGAGGTATTTCTATTTTTTTATCTACATATAGTTAAGATTTTCAGTACTCATGATAAACCAGCTCCCATTCATCAATCAGATTGTATCCACTCACAGTTGGTAATGTCAATGTGTTGTTGATGAAGGTCAGATATGCCGTTGTTATATCATGTTCAGTAATGTATTGGATTACCACTTTTTCTCCCAACACATCTCGATATGATACATGAAAACGTCTTCTGCTACCACTTGTTTCTTGACCGACTATGAAGAGATCCTCAATGACAATCAGTTTGTTGGTTGGACTTTTGTGAATAGGAAAGACATGAAGTGTGGCTTCTGGTGGAGTGGTTGATGAGCTCGGGATGATATTCTTCATTTTTTGACTTTCACCTTTCCATCCTTTCTGTCAACATACTCCTTTGTTGTTGCTGAGTCGGTCTCTGTTGAGTCTCGGAGATTGATGATGTGTTTCAACCCCATGTTAAGATTTCCTACCATCTGGTTGAGTCTACTCGTCCAGAGAGTCCAGTCCGTCTTAGTGCTGTGTTGAGATATTGTGATGTTACCACACATGTACTTGTTGATGGTTGCTTCACATTTACAATTTCCATTCCACCCATGTCAAGATTTCCTTCCATTTTCAGTTTACCACTCACCATCAGTCGTGTTTCATCATCATCAACATACTTCCTCAATGAAGTATTCACTTTTCCTATCTCACTTGTGACCCACCCAGTTGGTGCCGCACAAGTGGTAATTATTCCATCATCACCAAGAAAGCAGATGCTATGATAGTTCATGTCAATATGACCATTCACATCTCCACCACCTTTATCCAGCTTTTCTTCACTGATGACAAATAAATCCCTTTTTTTGGCATAGGAATCAAGATTGACCGAGTTAGCTTCCAAGGCTGTTCCAAATTTTGAACTCATCTTCCTTATCTATCTATATATTTTTTTCTTGAGAGTGTTGGAACAATAAAAATGATCCATTGTAGATACAAACCATGGAAAATGATCAACTTTGATGAGCACAAGGAGAAACCAACAAAGCATCACTACTTGCTTCCTGATTGTCACTACATGATGATTGGACAAACGGGGTGTGGGAAGACAAACAACCTGTGTAATATGCTTCTACAATCATGGTTGAAGTGTGATAAGATCATCCTTTACACAATAAATCCTCAACAACCAAAATATCAACTTCTTGATGGGTTTTACAATGGAATATCTCCTGGTAAACTTATCATTGAACAACCAGACAAGGTTTGTCCAGTGGAGGATCTCGATGATCAGGAAAATAAGGTGATAATTTTTGATGGCATCAAGATTGACAAAAAGAACATGATAAAAGTGATAAAGTACTTCAGTCTTTCTCGGAACAAGAAATGTAACTGTATATATCTTTGTCAATCATACTATGATGTACCGAAATATATCCGGAGGAATACCAAGTGCTTCCTCCTGTACAAGGGCTTAGACAACAGAGATGTCCAGTGTCTAGCACATGATCACTCCAAAAATCTTAAGAAGAACGAGTTTGCGGAGGCCTATGAAACGGCAACAGAGAAACCACATTCACTTTTCATGCTTGATAAAACAGCAACATATCAGCCAGAGATGTACCGATGTGGATTCGATAGGTTCTTGGAGAAGTGAGAAGAAAAAAAGGTATTGGTAGATAAGCATGCCACATTTTACACAAGTAGAAAATCCTGAATATCGGAAGGAAGTCATTGACACCTTTCTCAAAAATCGAGAAATTCTCAAGCAACGTCAACTGGAAAAAAGGATTGGTAAGCAACAGCAGGAGGAGTTTGTAGAAGAGTTCCAAAAACCTGTTGTTAAAAATTTAACCAAACAAAGTGAGGAATACGATAAACGGCAGGATGCGCTCCTTGGACAACTTCAGACTAACCAAGCAGCAATCACAACAGCCCTCCATCAAATTCCATCGGTTGTCGGTTCATTCATCAAACCCATCGGAGGTAGTACTCCAGAACCAGGTGGTGAAACTTCTCGGATCAGAGAAACTAATATCTCATTCAACCAGAGTGATATTGACCTCATCAATAAGTATAGGGGGAGTAATCATCCAATATCACCAGCAGGAGAGATCAAAGAAGGTGAGGCCTTGAAAGAAATGAAGAATATTCTTGGAAGAATAAGAGGGGTACATGTGCGCCCTGGTTCAGTAAGTGATAAAGATGGAAACATGAAACATGTGATAAATTCCATAGACAAGGTGAGGGAATTGATAGACTTCATGATCAGTGCTAACAGTAGAATATTGAAACCGGGACATGTGCCGACAGCAGATCAAGAGTACCCAATTCCAGAACCATATTTTGAGGGGTTTAGTGATAGAGAAGTTGAAGATCCAGAATCAGAATATTACTCCCAGATGGACACGAGCCATATTCCCTTGGAAGGTAGTGGAATCAGATTTTACAAATCACCTGGTGAGTTAGTAGACAGACTGGGTTTACTTTGCGCTTCCCGAGAAGCAGGAAATACATCAAAGAAAGTCATTAACGAACTAGTTGAGATCTTGGACCGTTTGTTAATTGAGAAAGTGATAAAAAAGAGTGAATACAAGCTCTCAGGTAGAATAAGGACACTTTTCTGGTGCCGCTGTACTTCAAGATCAGCGCTGCAACTCGCCATGGTGATAATGTGGCTGACGTCATGTTACCAAGGAAAACATGGCGTTCGTGTTCGCCGCACTCGAGCGCTCAGCTTTTTTCACAATCTTGTTTTGAAAAATACTTCAAGTCTTTTGCAGCACTTTTGGAGGCCAGTCACATCGCGATCTGTACGAGTATCTTTATCATGGCCATTGTCTTGTGTCGTTTTGAGCTCGAATAGCTTTCTCTGATGAAGGATTCAAAATATATCATGACGTTCTCCTTTATCGTGGGCATGAAGCTCCCCACTCGCAGCGGGGATGACATCGGACGGAATAAATGTGTCGAGTCCCGAGCAGGAGTTCTGCTGACAAAAGTGATTAGCTCCTCGCGACCTGGGGCATGTGAGGAGTACAGTTCTAGTCGCCCCACGGACACATCTAGCTGGAAGCGCAGAGTCGATTGAGAAAGATGTCATGACGTTCTCTTTTATCGTGGGCATGAAGCTCCCCCCACTCGCAGCGGGGATGACATCGGACGGAATAAATGTGTCGAGTCCCGAGCAGGAGTTCTGCTGACAAAAGTGATTAGCTCCTCGCGACCTGGGCATGTGAGGACTACAGTTCTAGTTGGGCAATACGCCACGGACACATCTAGCTGGAAGCGCAGAGTCGATTGAGAAAAATGACCAAGATCATAAAGAAGGCTTGTTTGCTTCCACAAAGTGTTTTAGTACTAGTAGCCGAGTCCACGCACTGAAAACTGCACTTGCATTGTTCCTGTCCACTCATACAGTACATCAGTGCAGTACAGAGTGCACTTGCAAGTCACAACGACACGAGCACAGTCGCGTGTACAGACTCACTTCACAGTTGTGACCAGCGATCGCGCGTGGGAGTCAAGTACCCTACTCAAGTGCGCAAGCTCGGCTCGCTGCATGCACTGTACTGTCTGTGGATCTGTAGCAACCCGCTGCGCGCTTTATGGATTATTTGTGTTTCGTCTGGTTTACCATAGATTTTCAGTTTTTTCCCTTTTGCGTCACACTTGCTTTTGCGGAGGTGTACAGCACAGCGTACACCATGTTTGTAACTCACGTTGTATTCCCGTATACGATTTTCTTGCACATGCCGCGCGTTCGTATGAACCTTGAACTCTGCGGTACAACCCAGTCCCGTACGGCATGCATTTGTACACACTGAGTTATCCGACTTGTTTATTTTTCTCCTCTGCCGTTGCCTTTCGGCTTCTTCCCCACTCGATTGACAACAACAAGTACTCTATTTTCTACTCTCACAGTCTTGGTGTTCGTGGGTGAATTAGTATAGTAATTGGAGCCGCTATCCTCCAAATTGGTGACCCCGTACAACCGGTCAGCATCAGGCTACCGCGTTGTGTAGCCCAAGTGCCGGTATCCCGAACTCTCGCTGCAAGTAATTTTCGTTCGTGTGTGGTTGAAGACCCTGCCTAGTACTAGTAGTAGTAATGGAGCGCGATACCTCAGCCCACGCTAAAGGCACTCCCATGCCCAGCACACCTATCGGTAGCAGCAAATTGCTAGCTCGCACCGAGACCGCGCTGGCCGCCAAGAGCACAGGGACACCGAGCAGGTTGGCCGCCAAGCAGGCGCCTTCGTCCACAGAGACAGAACAAGGCACAGGTACTCTTGTCGCTGCCAACGCCGACCCGCCCGCACACCGTGCTGGCAGTCCCGATGTGTCAGCCATTACTGCGGTGAAGCTACCGCCTTACTACGCGAGCGACCCACAAGTCTGGTTCGGCGTGGTGGAAAGTTTGTTCCGGACTAGGAATATCAGCAGGCAGTCCACGAAATTCCACCATGTCATCAGCAGTTTGAGCGCTGACTTCGCCACCGAGGTACGCGACCTCATCCTCAACCCGCCAGAGGATGCACCGTTTGACCAGCTGAAAGCTCGCTTGATACAGCGTACGCAGCTGAGTGAGCAGCGCCGCACGCCTGCTCCTCTCCGAAGAAGAATTGGGTGACAGGAAGCCCACACAGCTGTTGCGGCGGATGCAACAACTCCTGGACGACCACACAATGGACGACGGACTGTTCCGCGAGTTGTTCATCCAGCGGCTGCCAGAGAAAGCCCGCCTGATCCTCGCGTCAAGCTCAGAGGCACTGCCCCTGGAGGATCTGGCCACCATGGCCGACCGGATTTTGGCAGTTTCGCCCGAAGCGAACGCAATCATGGCTCTTCGTCCCGCGGCAGCAAGTATGCCGGACAGTACTGTGGCACGCCTGGAGCGGCAAATTGCTGAACTGACTGCAGCAGTGTCCGCCCTTGCTGAGCCTCGTTTCCGTGGTCGTTCTACAAGTAGGAGCAGCACACCTTCGCACTCCCGGTCCAGCACACCAACACGTGACGTGTGCTTTTATCACCACCGATTCGGCGATCGTGCTCGCCATTGCCGGAGCCCCTGCTCTTTCAAGCGGCAGGAAAACGCGCAGGCCAGCAAGTAGTGGCACCCTTGTCTGGCCTAGCTGGAAGTCGCCGCCTGCACGTCCGTGATCGGCTCTCCAAGATGCAGTTCTTGGTGGACACCGGAGCCGCTGTCAGTGTAGTGCCGCCGACCTCCCAGGAGCGTCACCGTTGCCGTGGCACTCCACCACTACGAGCAGCTAATGGCAGCACCATTGTCACCTATGGGATGCGATCCCTGACTATTGACATTGGTCTCCGTCGCCGTTTTCAGTGGGTGTTTGTCGTGGCCGACATTATGCAGCCCATTCTCGGTGCAGATTTCCTGGCTAATTTCCAGCTGCAGGTTGATCTGCACAGCCGCCGCTTGCTGGATGCCCGCACCTCACTGCATATCTCTGTGCCTGTTTCTGCCTCCGCTCAGCCGTCTGTACATGCGTTAATGCCTGACTCTTTGCCGCCGCCTATTCGCTCCATGCTGGCTCGCTATCAGTCTGTCACGCAACCTCCTGAGTTTGATCGGCCCGTTCTGCATAACGTGGCGCATCACATCGTCACCAGTGGACCTCCTGTTTTCGCCAAGCCACGCCGCCTCGCTCCTGAACGCTTGGCAGCGGCGAAGCAGGAATTTCAGCACATGCTTGACCTTGGCATCATCCGGCCATCCGAGTCACCCTGGGCCAGCCCACTCCACATGGTCCCCAAACCCAACGGAGATTCGCGACCTTGCGGCGACTACCGCGCCCTCAATCTGGCCACTCAACCAGATCGGTACCCAATTCCTCACATACAGGATTTTACGGTACGACTCGCCGGCTGCAAGGTTTTCACCAAGATCGACCTGGTCCGGGCGTACCACCAAATCCCTGTCGATCCCGCCGATATTGCAAAAACTGCTGTCACGACGCCATTTGGCCTCTTCGAGTTTGTGCGCATGCCGTTTGGCCTTTGCAACGCTGCACAATCCTTCCAGCGATTTATGGATCAGGTGCTCGCCGGCCTCGACTGCAGCTTCGACTATATTGATGACTTGCTCGTCGGCAGCCCAGACCTGTCCACCCACCTCAGCCACGTGGAGCAGGTTCTGCAACGCCTCGATAAGCATGGGCTCGTCATTAATGTCACCAAGTCCGTATTTGCTGTGCCCACCGTAGAGTTCCTGAGCCACACTGTGTCTGCCGATGGAATCTGCCCTCCTGCCAGTCGGGTCGACGCCATCCAGCAGTTCTGTGCACCTACCTCGCTGACCCAGCTCCGTACGTTCTTGGGGATGCTGAACTACTATCGACGCTTCATCCCACATTGTGCGGAGATTGTCCAGCCCCTAACGGATCTGCTATGCACCAAGGTCGGCAAACAGTCTGCTCGTCCGCCACGTAAGCCACCTGATTTTGTCTGGCCACCAGCTGCTGCTGATGCATTTCTCGCCGCTAAAGCTGCTCTGGCCTCCGCTACCCTGCTCTGTCATCCCTGTGTGCAAGCGCCGATTTGCATAATGGCTGACGCATCTGACCTGTGTGTGGGCGCTGTACTGCAACAATACGTGCACAGCTCCTGGCAACCGCTGGCCTTCTTCAGCAAGAAGTTGTCTGACACCGAGCGCCGATATAGCACCTTCGGCCGAGAGCTATTGTCGGTGTATCTGGCTGTCAAACACTTCCGCTACTACATCGAAGGTCGTGTGTTCCGCGTCTTAACGGACCACAAGCCGTTGACGTTTGCTCTGAAGCAGACCACCACAGCATCACACTCGCCCCGTGTCCTCCGTCAGCTGTCATTCATCGCAGAATTTACCACGGACATTCGTTTCGTTAAGGGTGAGCACAATCCGGTTGCGGATGCTTTGTCTCGTATTGCTGTCTCTGCTGTCTCAGCTGTCTCGCCGCCTGCCGCTGTTGACTTTGCTAGTCTCGCTGCTGCGCAACAAGCTGATGCTGAAACTCAGTCTTATCTCAATCATCCTGACTCTGCCTTGCGTCTTCAGTCTCTTGCTCTGCCTGGCTCTGCTGCTCCTGTGCTGTGCGATGCTGCAACATTGCCCGCCCGTCCGTTTGTACCGCTGCAGTTCCGCCGTGCTGTCTTTGACTCGCTTCATGGCCTTAGTCACCCTGGGATCCGCGCCAGCAACCGCCTCATTGCCGCTCGTTTTGTTTGGCCGCACATGCACCGTGATATCACCACCTGGACCCGCACGTGTGAGCAATGTCAGCGCGCCAAAGTGTTCCGTCATGTGAAAAGCCCGGTTGGCCAGTTTCTGCCACCCGACGACCGCTTTGCACAGGTACATGTTGACCTAGTTGGCCCTCTGCCTACCTGCCAGGGTTATACATACCTGCTAACCTGCATCGACCGCTTCACCCGCTGGCCAGAAGCTTTCCCTATTGCTGATTCAACTGCCGCTACAGTAGCCGCTGCCTTCGTCTATGGCTGGGTTTCCCGATTTGGCGTTCCGTCCTCCCTTGTGTCGGACCGTGGCGCTCAGTTCGAGTCCAATCTCTGGTCAGAACTGATGAAGTTACTTGGATGTCACCGCTCCCGCACCACCTCCTACCATCCCCAATCGAATGGTATGGTGGAACGCTTTCACCGCCACTTGAAGTCGTCACTGAAAGCTCTCAATGGTCCAACCCACTGGCTGACATCACTACCGTTGATCCTCCTCAGTATCCGCTCCTCCACGAAGACTGACACTGATTGTTCCGCCGCTGAGCTTGTGTATGGGACTAGTCTCCGGCTCCCAGGTGAATTCTTCCCTGGCACGTCTGCTCCCATCCGCTCTGGTGGAGCCGATTATGTCGCTCGTCTTGCTAACGCCCTGCACCGCTTGCAGCCACTGCCTGTTCACCAGGTGTCCGACTCTACTCCTATCCATCTGCCCGCTGATCTGCAATCTGCTGCTAAAGTGTTTATCCGCTGCGATGCAGTTCGAAAGCCACTTCAGCCACCCTATGATGGTCCCTACCCTGTTGTTCGCCGCAGTGCTAAATATTTTAAAGTGCTGGTGAAAGGCAAGGAGCAGGTTGTCTCAGTAGACCGTCTTAAGCCTGCTCACTTGCTCTCCTGACTCTCTTTGTGTCATTGCTCACTACCCAGTCGTACTTAATAACTCTGGTTTTCTTCTTTCGTTTTCTCTCTATTCTCTGAGTTTATCGTGTTCGTATCGTGCCTCTCGTCCACTGGCGGGGGAGTGATGTAGCAACCCGCTGCGCGCTTTATGGATTATTTGTGTTTCGTCTGGTTTACCATAGATTTTCAGTTTTTTCCCTTTTGCGTCACACTTGCTTTTGCGGAGGTGTACAGCACAGCGTACACCATGTTTGTAACTCACATTGTATTCCCGTATACGATTTTCTTGCACATGCCGCGCGTTCGTATGAACCTTGAACTCTGCGGTACAACCCAGTCCCGTACGGCATGCATTTGTACACACTGAGTTATCCGACTTGTTTATTTTTCTCCTCTGCCGTTGCCTTTCGGCTTCTTCCCCACTCGATTGACAACAACAAGTACTCTATTTTCTACTCTCACAGTCTTGGTGTTCGTGGGTGAATTAGTATAGTAATTGGAGCCGCTATCCTCCAAAGATCTACAGCAGATTGCTGGTGTGATGCACCACATGTACAACGAAGTCATTTTTGTGTAAGAGACAATGTCGGCTATTTTGAAACGGCAATGACAGCATTATCCATAAACGCGGAGCGTGGGGAATGTCTTTGGCGAATGAGAGCTGTTGCATTGGCTAGCTGTACATCCCAGCAAGCGGGAATGTGCTGGATATCGATACTAAACACCCGTTCATCGCGGTGGTGAGTCTTAACAGACCCCGAGGTACGACAGCTTCGTTTACTAAATGTGTACAGTGCGTATGGTGAAACAAGTCGATACTGGTTTCCAGCGAAATGTTGTTATCTATGTACAATATCCACCAATATCCTTTATCTAGGGCCCAAAGGCTATCCAGTTCACCAGGATTTGTGGCCTTACTATTTTTCGTTTTCTCCGCGTTTTGGGTTGAAATCTGAACATAAAAAGTAGCACTGATGACGTCATTCAGCTCATAATTTAAATTTGATATTGGAAATCGATGACAACTAACCCAATGTATCACCACAGAAAATTTGGTTGAAAAATATTAATGTATGCCAAAGTTATTACCAATACAAGTTTTGTACACACATGATCACCTTATTATACCTAAGAGAAGATTTATAAATCTTATGTATAGATAGAACCATGGAAACCATCCTATTTTTTGACAGTCACAGTTCACAAATGACAGGGACAAGTCAAAACTTTCAAGCATCTTTCAACCCTCCATTACTACTTGATGAAAAGAAGACCTATGAAATTGCTCTGATCAATTCTACCATCTGGTATAGTTGGTTCAACATCAACACCACAAACAACCAAATTCGGATTTTTGATGGGAAAGCCTGGAAAACTCTTGTCATTCCAAGAGGTGCTTACAACTTGACTGACATCAATCGATATATCCAGAGTAAAATCGAAAATGAGGACGGAATAACGATTGAGGCAAACTTCAACACTCTACACAGTGAAATTTACCTCAAACATGGTTACAAGGTTGACTTTGACACCCCATCATTACTTGCTCCTGTGCTCAGATTTTCCAAGAAACTGGTTGATACAACTTCTACATCTGACTTCATTGTGAATATCACTGACACTCACAACATCCTCATTCACTGTAGCTTGGTAAGTGAGGCATATCTCAATGGTAGAACTGGTGATGTCATTTACTCATTTTCACCGGATAAACCTCCCGGATTCCAACTCAACATCCAACCGAATGAGAAGACGTTTTTACCATTAACGAAAACTGATAGAATATCGGATGTAATAATGAGGATAACTGATCAAGATGGAAAGGAACTGAACCTCAACAATGAAAGAACCACGTTCAGTCTTCATCTCCGAGAAAGAAAATAAGACTAGATAGATGACATCATGTTCTTGAAACGAAATCAGCTTACCAGACAAAAGGTTATCGGCGGAAGTCTTCTTGGAAATCTGTACAACA